CCTTCACTCTTTATGAGGACGTCAGAGACCACCAATTGATTGGTTAGAGTGCCCCATGATATTTTTCGCAGCTCTTGAAATTGCGATTTCTTAGAATGTCATTTTGAAGTATGGGGCCGCGTTCCATATTTCAAAACGACGTTTAGACGACTGCATTTCTCTCACTTAAAAACGTGAGTCACCGAATTCCGTAGAAAGGAAAGATGTAGAAAATAAATCACTTACCGTCATTAAAATAATTACCGACGCAATACTAGTAATAGGTACTAGTTATAAAGCGATCTCTCTGATCTCCCACAACCGTCCGCCATTTTCACTTTACTTTTTCCGAAGTTCGAAGGAGGTCGCATCGGAACGGGGTGTATGACGTCAGGTCATTCTGAAATATGGAGATGAGTGCTAACYGTTTTCTGAAGTGTGTGTTCAGTCGTCGAATGTTGGAGCGAGTACAGTTTAGCGTCTAAGCTGAGTTTCGTGGATTTAAGTGCTGAAAACAGTCAAGTGTTGGCTGAGAGGTATTTTCTTACATTGGTGGCAGCTGTCTGGGATTTTGAGCCGACGAAATGAACAAAGATGAAGTAAAAATATCCGAAGGTGCTGAAGGCGTTTGACCGCTAGATTTCCCGCCGGGACATAAACTGGAGAAACCGATGAAGAGTGAGCAGAACGAAGGAAATAGTGACCTGCAGCAGTTAGTACAGGCGTTCAAGCAGAGTATGATGATGTCAAGTGAGGTAAGCAAAGCGAGGAGAAATGTACGAGCACCGCCTGTTAACTTAGTGGGACAGAGTTTTAAAACATGGCTGTCGCAGTTCATGAAGTATGCCGACCTTTGCGCATCAAGCCGTCGGATCGTCGAACGTTTTTACTCACAATGTTGGACCAGCCGGCCTTTAAAGCGGTGGAACTGCTCAAGCTTCCAGAGTTCCTGTCATTTGACGACACAGTTGATAAAGAGATTCGATTCGGGTAAGACGAGGAGGATTATAAATTGCAGGTACGTGCGAGGTGTCAGAGGCCGAACGAAGATTTCGAGGGATTCGCCGATAGCCTGCTAGAATTAGTCGAAATGCGTACCCAAACACGGCTTGTCCATTGAAAGTGGAGTTGGCCGGAGATCATCAGCTTATTTAGACAAGGTCACTTTGCGTGGGAATGTCCAACTAATC